TTTATTTTATGTCTATAATTTTAATGAATTAGGAAAGCTCTTCCTATACAACCATCTTGGTTTAATGAGTATCACAGAATGGTTCTTATGGAACAAGCATTTTTCATAAAATTATAACTGTCAGTAAAGGTCGTTCTATCTCCCATTATCACCAGAGTACACATAATGGAGATAGCAGTTATCAATGGAATGAACATTGGAACAACTTTAAGAAAGAGCCATATCTTAATCATCGGACAAATGAGCTTGCAGAGGACCATTGTAAAAGTGGAAAAGCATTTGACCAAATGTCCAATCACAATATACGTCAGGTTATTCCTATTGTGGAGAAGACCCACAAAGGAAGTAAATGTATCCAGTATTTTCAGCAGTCTTCACAATACCGTGAACAAGAGAATATACATGTTACGGAGGAGGCTCACAAATGGAATCCGTGTGGGATAGTCTTCAGTCAAATAATTCAATCTAAAAGATGCCAAAAAGTTCATAGTGGAGAAAAACCTTATACACGTAAAGATTCTGTTAAAACGTCTATTTGGCCTTCAGGTTGTACTCTAAATCAGACAATTCATACTGGAGCAAAGCCTTGCAAATGTAAATCATGTGGCAAAGCCTTTAAATATCATTCATCTCTTATTATACATAAGGCAAGATTTCACACTATAGCAACATTTTGCAAACTCAGGGAAAATGGAAAAGACTTTAGTCAGCTTGTTTAAATTCATCACTTGCTCTTGGAATCATCTAAAATGTCATTTGGTCAATACTTGTTGGTAACTTCAAGGTGCACTCATCTGATTGTCAAAACTAAAAATATGTTTTCTTTCAGCTACAACATCTAAAGATAACCTGGCCTTTATGCTAAAGCCCGGAGTACATGATTTATTCTCTGAAATAATACTGGTAAGATATAAAAGATGTTGCTTTGATAATGCACACTGAATGAAAGCCTTTGAATTTGAGAAAGAGAGTGAAGAGAAGAGGTGAAGTGAATATAAATAGAAGAAATCTGAAGCAGTTATCATAATAAAACTCTTGTTATCTAAAGAAGTCAGGTGTATTATGCATTCTAAAGAAGAGGTGTATTATGCATTTGGGAAATCTTCCAATTTAAAGTCAGTTACATTGGCAAATCAATGTGTTTCTGCACGTGAAAGTCAAAATCAACTTTTTACTGTTATGTATTCTTGGAAAAAGAATTTGTAAAAAAACGGGG